AAGCTCCAGACAGGCAATGGCGACTATTGACCATAGTACAATGACCGTTGCAACAAGCAGAGTGGAGTTTTTCCTCTACTGTGGAGCTTACTACTAGATGAAATACTAAGAAAACTCGCAGATAGAGGAATAAAATGCCAGGGCTATGCCGATGACATAGTAGTAGTAGCCAGAGGGAAATTTGAAGAAACGCTTTGTGACATTCTCCAACTCGGACTCAAGATTACGCTTGATTGGAGCAGGGAAGTTGGGCTTAACCTCTTCCCCTCAAAAACAGTCATTGTTCCTTTTACAAAGAAGTATAAACTAAAGAAGATGAGACAAATCATGCAACTAGGTACTTCCGTAGCAAAAAGCCGGGAAGTTAAGTACCTCGGAGTTACCTTTGACAGGAAACTAACGTTTGCAACCCACATAAAAGTGCCTCAGGCCTCTCTTCACCTGTCGGAAAATTGCAGGGAAATTTTGGGGGACCTCACCCCAAATCATCAGATGGCCATACCTTATGATTGTGAGACCAATACTCACATATGGTTCAGTAGCCTGAGGTAAAAGAGCGAGGCTCATTACCGTACAGAAACAGCTACAAAAGCACTAGAAGTTCTCATGAAACTCACTCCGCTCCACTGCGAGAAGGCCACCCTGTTAAGAATCGCTCCTTCTGGTAGAGGCAGTGACCGCATCCTCAGCTCTAGGGATGCAGCAAAGCAACTACCCAGGGACGAAATGACAGTAAAATTAATCTTCGAAAAGAATTTCTCTGCTCATCTGAGCAACTAGAAATAATGGACCACCATGAAGGAAGTACACTCCATGGCGAGTCACACTATAGCGTGGTATACGGACGGGTCTCTAATACACCAAGGCACTGGCCTTGGAGTAATAGGACCACGAATCAAGTACCATAAATTTTTAGGCCAATGCACCAGCATATTCCAAACTGAGGTATTTTCTATAGGACGGTGTGCGGAGCTCAATATGGAGCGCGGGTACACAAACAAGGACATTGCAGTCCTCTCGAACAGTCGAGCGGCAATTACTGCACTCTCTAGTAATAGGATCACCTCGATGCTGGTTCCAGAAGTAAGAACAAAAATAAACCTTCTGGGCAGCAGCAACAGGCTGTCACTAAGATGGATTCCAAGACATAAAGACATATCCGGGACCGAACTAGCAAAACTAGGGGCGGAACGTCCCTTTATAGGTCACGAGCCTTATTATGGCGTAGGCAGACATACAATCAAAGATTATCTGAGAAAAGAAGAGGTACATATGAGGCAAGCTTGCTGGGAGAGCACCACAGGCCAAAGGCAAGCCTTATCATCAATTATGACATGAAGAGGTTCAAGAAACTTATACCACTAGGGAAAAATTAACTTACGGTAATTGCCGGATTACTAACCGGACATTGCAGACTAAGGAGTCACCTATGTAATATATAAATTGTGAACAGCAAGACATGCAGATTCTGTGATAGCGAGGATGAAACCTCCCTACACATAATCTCAGACTACCCAGCCAAGGCTGGGATGTAGAGATGTAGAACCCTCGGTTCCCGGTCCGTAACACTTGGGACCTCCGGAAGCATCGACCCAACATAGCTTCTTGGATTTATCGGAGGAACCGGGTTGATGGGTAAGCTTTAAGCTCAGATAGGGGGTACAATAGATCAAGGCAAGATTGCGGTCAGACGATAACTTACAGCGCTTTACGCGCAGTCTGCGTTGCCTATGGGGATGCACATCGAACTGAGGCCTAAACTCAGAACCATTCTGTCAAGAAATGTAGTAACTTTGGTTGTCATGTGTATAAAGAGTTGAAAAGTCGACTAGTCCAACATATGACTGCTGCTCGAAATTCTATAATACGAAACAATTCTCCATATAAACCATCCACCACGACCCCGGGAGTTTCTTTTGCACGGGCGTTAAATAAAAACAACGGGACTTACGCCTCATCCTCTAAGCTGACAGGTCATCTAGCCACTGCTGATATAGTGGGGCAACAAACACTAAACCAACGCCCAGAAATTAATAGCCAACATATGACTGCAAACACACAATTGCCTAATAGCGTAGAAGAAATGCTGATAACTATAACCAACACAATGGTAGCTAGAGCTTGTATACAAGCTACATCAACACACATCGATATCCAAAGCGGTTTCTTAATAGAAAACCTCTGGCCTCACTATGATCCATAAAGCCAAAAGGACAAGTCACAGTCTTCGTCAAATAGGCCAGTCTCCTGCAGTGCCTATCAAAAGTATTTAAGAGGCTGCTCATGAATATGAATACGTATAGAGCCACACCTACAGTGCCATAATGGCTTCCCAATACACCAATCCGGTTTCCGCAAAAAACGGGGAACCATTGAACAAGTAAGCCGAATAACCTTCGAGATACGAAACATATTTGAAAGTCAATAGTATTGCACCGCAGTTTTTCTGGATGTCGCCAAAACTTTCATCTGCGTTTACACAGCAGATCTTCCAACAACCAGGCTTAGAACAATCATTTGCTGAAGATACTGCCTGCTAGCCGATTCTAGTCGTTCTAGTTGCCTTATAAAAGCAACACAACACTTATCAGCTTATCTCGAGCCTTTGGAAAAGAAAGAGCAAAATGAGCAAAAGAGCAAACACGTCAACTTAACCCTAAACAGACAAACTTGTCCCCCACCATTTTTGAACAACATTCATATTCCGCAAACAACTGGAGAAACTTATCTTGGAGTTCACCTTGATAGAACAGCCAAAAGAACACAATTAAAATAGAAAGCAAGAAGCCTACATTGGTTAATAAGCGCCCGTTCTCCGCTTAAATTGGAGTACAAGGTCATCTGTACAATGCAGTCCTCAAAACAATTTCCTGATATAAATCGACTCCGAGTTCAAATGTGCTGGACACCAACTGCGTATGGTGGTAAAAAATAAGACACAATGGAAAGCTGTAAGTGACAGTGGATCCAAAAAATATAGAAGAGATCAACGAGAAGGTGGAGGAACTACTTAAGATGGGGTGTAAAAAACTCTCAAGATAAAAGAGGCTATGTGTCGACGTTAGAGAAATTAATGCGAAATCCATTAAAGACACGTTTTCGATGCCACGCATCAACTATATATTGGACCACCAGTCATGTTCATCAGCAGCCTAGATCTAAATAACGGCTATTGGCAGGTCATTTTGGAAGAGACAACCGGACAATTCACGGAGTTAACCGTACCTGGTAAATGACTCCATGGAAAATAATGACGTTCGGATTAATTTCGGCATCGGCAACCTTCCAAAAGGCAATAGATTAAGTGATTTAAACGGAAATGCCACCCCATGCTTTCGCAAATCAAGACGACGATCTACTCCAGAAAGCCACGTAGTTTGATTGGTGGCGGTCCCAGTGCTGGCCTGTCCATACTTTGAGAAACTGTTCACTCTGTATTTCCTGGCAATTCTAAAGCCTGAAAACGAGGAAGGCGAAAAGGTTATCTCATAGTCGAGTTGAACCCTCGGACCCTCGTTTCTGAAAGGATACCATTTCAGGGTAGTAACTGATCAATGATCACATGACATTGAAGTGGCTAAACAGAAGTTTAAGTGGCCAAACAGAAGAGTTGCAAGTTGTAGCATTATAACTCAAAATAAGTTTCCGGAAGGGACAGCCGATGCTTAAACCAGACAACCGTTGCTGGAAACGCTGGAAATAGCAACGGAGTTAGCATTGGTGGTTGGGTGCTAGATGCGCCAAAAAAAAAGATCCACCCACAGAAGTTCCCGGATTACGTGATAGAGGGCGGGTCTTTATAAAGACACATGCAGTGCCGACGACCCGTCAACCTGGGTATGATTGTATTGACTCAATAAAACCAATTATTCTGTCCAGTTGTGCAGGCTGTGTACGATAAACGGCTAAACTTATTTCTTTAGACGGGTTAGTAAAATGCGTATTTACTACTAAGCTACCCCTCCACCCAAAAATTTTGTTGCGAAATATTTAGCGAAAGTTTAATTCATTTATTTTAATAACTATATTTATAATAAGTTTTTATTTAACACAACAATTATTTGAAATCAATAAGGCTTCGAGAGAGAGGCTTATAACTTAAGAGCCTTTTCAAGGAGAGCAAATCAACATCATAACCTATATTTAACTTCTGAGAGCAAAGGTACTTAACTAACTATAAAACATTAAAGTTAACGAACTGGTCATCTGACGATTCTACACAAAATGATATGAATGTTTTATTGCTATGTGATAATAAATTTTAAGTCATAGTAATTACAAATACATCTTAATAAATAGTAGTTGAACAACAGCGAAGACAATTAATTTTAAAAGAATATTTATAAAGGTCCAAAAAGATTCACTGCCGGATGATTATCAGCTGTGTTACCCAAAAATTGACCGTAAAGTTCTTTGTACCGGTCTAGCGAAAGACCTCCACGTTTCCGATCATCGTCCTAAAAGAAAAAGCAACATATTTTTAAAGTTGTTATATTATAGGTAACTTTTTAAGCAAACTCACGTTTAGCAATGTTTCAAAGGCTTTGTCAATTGGGGCAATGTCGTCGATGGCTATTCTAGTTATGCAGTTATAACGGTATTCTTTCACTCCAACAATTCCATCGCTGTCTATGTCAAGCAGTTTAAAGTTCGATTCAATGAATGCCCTCATGGCCTATAAAAAGAAAAAAATTTAAAATCAAATATAGACTTTATAGCCGTTACTTTTGCTATTTATTTGTCGCTATTAAGAAAGGATTGCACAAAGTGTGCGGTAAAACGATTTGTTGGGAAGAAATTTTCGCGCTATCTTGATAAAAGGATCAACATTAAATGAAACTCATAGTAATTTACGCTCTATTTAAAAGCAAGCGCCGAAATAAAGCATTAATTCAACCGATGCTGAAAAAATTCTAAGCCGCACCTTATAAAAGTAAAAGAAGATGTTTGTACGCAAATTTAGAAAGATGCCTTGCCGTTTTTACTGTACTGTTTACCTATTTATCTGCTTAAATTCAAAAGAATAGTTGTCTACCAAGAACTTGTTAAGGGAATCTACTCTTCCTGATTACCTGCGTATTTATGTACAGGATTTGTATTAAAAATTTGAAAAGGATTGGTTCATTAGATTTTGAGTTCTGATGTTCACCGACTTTCAAAATAACGTTTCGGGAAAATCGATTTAAAGTAATCGATTTATAAGTATATAAAATACGGGCAAATTCGGTCGTTTAAAAGGCTGTAACTCTGTTAGTTTGACTCTAATTGACTCAAAATTTTTACGCAATGTTCTCGACATATTGGTCTCTTAGAAAAAAATATAAAAAACAAGAAAGGAAGCTAGCTTCGGCAAGCCGAAGCTTATACAAGGTGTGTGTCAAAAGTTTCCGAACTTTTCAAAAGAAAAAAACTACAAAATAGTTTAGAATGAAACTTTGCATTTATTCAAAATAGTCTCCCTCCGACTCAATACAACGATTTGCACGATTTAAAAGTGATTCGAATGAGTGTTTTAGCTCGTCAACCGGGATGGCCTTGAGTATGTCGGTCGTCGCCTTTTCAATGGACTTTATGTCATCAAAATATCTTCCTTTCATTGCCAATTTTAATTTTCCGAATAGGAAAAAGTCACACGGAGCTAAATCAGGTGAATATGGTGAGTGGTTGACGGTTCGTGCTTCAATAACGACGTCTTTCGAATGCTGAATGCGAAGCGCCTTTTCGTGCTCTTTGAGTGTATGTGGAACAAACCGTGCACAAACCTTCCGCATACCCAAATGCTCAATCAAAATGCGATGAATAGACTTATAGGATATCTCCAACTCCATTTCCATGTATCTCAACGAAGATTTTGGTTCTTTTTTGACAAAATCACGAACAATTTGAATGTTTTCATCAATAACAGCACTTTTCGGACGGCCCGAACGTTCGTCGTCTTCCAGGCTTTCACGACCATTTTTAAAACGATTAAACCACTCGTAAGTTGAGGTACGGGATAGACAATCATCACCATAAACTTGTTTCATCAATTTATGAGTCTCGGTGAAAGTTTTACCGAGTTTAAAACAAAACTTAATAACCGCTCTTTGCTCCATGATTTTTCGTCGACCAACTAACACAAGGTACTGTCACTTAAAATGCAATAATTCCAATTCCACTGTTCCAAATGTCTTGAAATTTGGAGGGAAAATCGGTGAATAATTTATCTTTCAAACGCATACACTCACACAAAGATGGCGGCACCAGAAAATGCCCTGCCAGAAAAGTTCGGAAACTTTTGACCCACACCTTGTATACCCTTGCAGTCATCAAATATGTCGAACAAAATGCATAAAGGCTAAACAATATCGAAGCTATGACGATTTTTCTATTCATTTTCCATATTTTCGACTATAGATCATATGGGAGTTATATGATATAGTTGTCCGATTTCGATCAAATTAAATTCGTAATTCAAGAGACGTAAGAAAACTCTATATTTCAAAAATCATACTTGTCTGATGAAAAACCACGATGTTATAATTTTTTTTCCGTTATTTCTATATATCGAAATCGAATCGTCGTCGCATGCAGACGTATATTTATTGTGCTCCGGAAAAAAAGTATTCAGTAATATCAAAAACGTGCAGTGACTGGTTTCGTAAATCAACAACAACGCGAAAAGAACAACGCTTTCATCGATGAAATCGCTAATGCTTATATTGATTAATTAATTAATACTATAGAGGTTGCCCAGTAAAAAGGAGCTGAAAAGTCGCATCCACCAGAGGGGATCTACTGCCCGCACCCAAAATAATCAGTTCATAGCCTCCAGGTCAAACCCTGAAGTCTTCTTATCGACTGCAGCCAGATCCTCACTAGGACCCATAAACTCTGCCAAAAATGTCACATACGCAAGCGCTTTAAAATCAGGACTGGCTACCCCAGCCCCAAAAATCTCACTTCCGCAATCAGCACACCAAGAACCGAACACGGCTCAGCAGCATCAACCGCCTGAGCAGCCAAAAAGTAACTTTAAATCTTTGATATGCAGTCTACAACAAAGCCTTACGGAGTTTATGTCGTTTATGCGTACAACTATGCAAGATCTAATGCGAAACCAAAATCTACTTATCTATGTAGGATTGGTATTGTATAGTAGGATATCCCTACTGTGTGTAAGATAAGGATCTAGTATTAAGTATGAAGTATTTAGTATTTAAGTATTAATGTTACGGATGTTAAGCTTTTAGAAATACGGACACACTCGAGAATAAGTTACAGAACCGACAAGTCGAAGCTAAGAGAAAAGAGGCTAAAGAAGAGTGTTAAAAAAAGTTGTAAAAGAAGTTGAAGAAATATAAAGAGGAAAACGCGAAGTGTTCTGCAATTAATAAAAGCATTAAGAAGATTCTGGAAGTTCTATTAAATAAACATTTGTGGGTGACTTTTATAAGTTATACCCTACAAATATTGGGGGCTCGTCCGGGAAATAGAAAGAACATTCTGGAAATTTCTTTTGCGTCTTTTATATGTGCGGATGTGTGTGTTCCCGTTGTGAAAAACATTAAAAGCGCAGTTTGACAGAAGTTTTGTTGGAAAAGAGAGGATTGAAGACTGTGTAAAATCGAAGCGTCGCTGAAATTCGTGGAAACCTTTTCCGAGAATTGGCGAAAAGATCGAGGGTTGATGGCGTCACACAGACAATCATAACGACGTGAAAAGTGGCAACCGCGCATTTACTTACACACAACGATCGTCAAATCGGTGTGAGTATGTGTGTGAACCACTAAGCAGGAGTGTGCAAGCAAGATCGAATATTGACGGCGTCGAGGGAGTTACAGTTGAAGGGGTACAAATCTAACGACACAGAGGTCGTGGATTGGCAGGCTGCAACAACAACAACGGCTAGAGAGTCGTGAAGCAGTGCGACACAGAAGTCGACTGCTACAACAAGAGGTGACGGCGTCGAGGGAGTTGCAGTTGAAGAGGTGCGAATCTAACGACACAGAGGTCGTAGGTTGGCAGGCTGCAACAACAATTGTCGGTCGGTGGCGAAGCAGTGCGACACAGAGGTCCACTCCAGCAACAATAACTGCCGGAGGGCGGTTAAGCAGTGTATTCAAGGAGTCTGCGAGGGAGTTGCAGTTGAAGAGCGTCAAATCTAGCGACACAGAGGTCGTAGATTGGCAGGCTGCAACAACAATTGTCGGTCGGTGGCGAAGCAGTGCGACACAGAGGTCCACTCCAGCAACAATAACTGCCGGAGGGCAGTAAAGCAGTGTATTCAAGGAGTCTGCGAGGGAGTTGCAGCTGAAGAGCGTCAAATCTAGCGACACAAAGGTCCTAGATTGGCAGGCTGCAACAACAATTATCGGTCAGTGGCGAAGCAGTGCGACACAGGGATCCACTCCAACAACAACGAGAAGTGACAGCGGCGAGGGAGTTGCAGTTGAAGAGCGTCAAATCTAGCGACACAGAGGTCCTAGATTGAGGTCCACTCCAGCAACAACAACTGCCAGAGGGCGGTAAAGCAGTGCATCCAAGAAGTCTTCGAGGGAGTTGCAGTTGAGGAGCGCCAATTCTGTGCGACACAAAGGTCGTAGATTGGCAGGCTGCAACAACAACAACGGCTAGAGAGCCGTAAAGCAGTGCGACACAAAGGACGGTGGCTACAACAAAGAGGAGTGACATCGTCGAGGGAGTTGCAGTCGAGGAAGGCCAATTCTGTGCGACACGAGGTCGTGGACGGCAACAACAACAACAAACCAGCAAGCAGTGCTATCGACAAGGGATCGGTAAAGTAAAGCTACGTGAGATCGTGAGTTTTAAGTACGAATTTTCCAATTGTAAACCTAACTATAGTTACCCCTAAGTCTATTGCTCTTAAGCATACGTTAACAATTAAGTATGGATGCATAAAACAATATTGTCTTTGAAAGTGGAGGAGTTACGGCAACAGCTTAGAGCTTTAGAGTTAGAGTCTACTGGCAGGAAAGCAGTGCTGCAGGATAGGCTGTTAGAGCATTACAATCTAGGAGATGTCGAGGAGGATGAAGAAGAGCAAGAGACGCACTCAGTTAAATCTAGCGAATATCAAGAAGCAGAGACAGATGGTTTTAAGAGCGCATCAAGATTTACGCTCAAAGATGTTCAAGATAGTGTTTCACATTTTTCAGGATCAGATCAACCAGATATAAATCAGTGGGTATCTGAATTTGAAGATTGTGCTGCAACGGTAGGTTGGGATAGCTTACAGAAGTACATTTACGGGAAGCAACTGTTGCAAGGAGCAGCAAAATTATTTGTGAGAGGTCTAACAGGTGTTAGAGGATGGGAACAATTGAAAGCAAAACTGCGAGCTGAGTTTGGCAAAACAATGTGTGCAGCTGAAGTACATAAACAACTTATGAACAGAGTAAAACTTGATAAAGAGTCGTTAAGTGAGTATTTGTATAGCCTGATTGAGATTGGGAAGCAAGTCAGATTAGACGAAGCAAGTGTCATATTGTACTTCGTGGATGGTGTTCCAGATAGTAAATTAAACAAGAGTAACTTGTACCGATGCAGGACACTTGATGAATTGAAAGCAGAAATAGAAATTTACGAAAGGATCAAGGATAGTACTAAGGGCGTCAGTACAAGAAAACCCATCTCCCAAATTAAGAAGAAATGTTTTAAATGTGGCAAGGAAGG